CACGTGGTCACCTCCGGGGCAGGCGGGAATCGAACTCATGAGGAAGTGGCTTAAGCTTCGCAGTGCAGTGCTTTAACCCGCTGCGCCACCAGGGAGGGCCCACAAGGATTTTTTTTAAAGGTGAATCAGAACAGCAAGCCCTGCTGCAGCAAACCCTCCAGTGGCATCCACAGCCCTTGGACTAAACCCCCCCACACCTGCTCTCACCTCGTTGCTCACTCAGCATAATATAATCCCTCACTGTGGCAGGTGGGGCAGTGGTTGGGGGGAGATTCATAGTCCTCCTCCCACATGTTCTAGAAGGCATTTAGCCTCTTGGCATATAGGAGAATACAGGGATGCTTTGCTTAACAGCAGGATACATTATGAGCAATGTGTCTTTAGGCAAGTTGGTCCTCCTATGAGCATCACAGAGTGCAATTCTTAAAGCTAGATGGTACAGCCTGCGGTACACTTAGGTCACCCATACAGCCTGTTGGGTCACATCGAACTTGCAGCCTGTCATTGACCCAAACATCCTAAGTGCAGCTTGACAGCATAGAGTTTGTGTTTTCCTTGTGTTTGGAAAACAAATTGGTTTTATAGTCAGGCAGTCCACTTAGTATTAAGCTTTTCTGTTGCTGGATAAATAAAACAGTTTTATTCCCTGGGGATCTGGAGTCCGGAGTCAGGAAGACAGGATTTTGTTTTTGTTTTGTAAGTTGTTACAAATAACCTCCTAATGGATGAGTGTAGAAAGTGATATGAAGAAAAATGCAAGGTATTGTGGGAATGTGAAGCAAGAGAATGAAGTTTGTTTGGGTTTCAGGGAAGAGTCCTGAGGCAAGAGAGATTTAAGCAAAGCTCTGAAGGATGAGGTGGGTTGTACTCAGAGTGAGCTCCTGGGAGAAGATCCAGCCTGGTGAAGGCCTGAGGGAAAGACACCCTCTCCTTAAGGAAAGCAGTCAGTTAATTAGCAACTTGGACAGAGCAGGGACAAGGGGCAGGGGCCATACTGCTCAGAGCTTGATGGTGTCTCTCAGTCACCTTTATTCTTTATCCAAAGGCAACAACAGGACAAAAAAAAAAGTGACAATGCAGTTCCCTTATTTAACAAGTATTGATGAGTATCAGTTTGGCTGCCTTATTGCCCAGGAGCTGATCTAAGCCCTTAGGGTATGTAACTTCACAAGATCATCAAAATTCCTACTCTTTCAGTGTTGACAGGGAAAAGAACAAGAAACAATTAACAACAACACACAGAAATAAGGAACTATCAAGAAGAGTTCTGTGTGGCTTATGGTGAAGTACAGGCTTGGAGGCGAGGTTAGGAGCTGCTTCAGTGAAATCCTGTCCTGGGAGGTTGCTTTAAGCTGATATCTGAATGACAAGATCCAAACTTGTGATGATCCAGGGGACAGATTTCATGCCCAGAAAATGTCGCTGCCAAGACCCTGAGGGAGGAACTAACTTTGCAGCTAAATTTTAGGATCCAAAGTAAGCTTTGCGCAGGGAGTGGAGTGAGCAATGAGGTGAGAACCTTTTGGACTGCCAAGCCCTGGCCTGGGGGCTTATTTCAAGGGCTGTGGATGCCACTGGAGGGTTTGCTGCAGCAGGGCGTGCTGTTCTGATTCACCTATTTAAAAAATCCTTGTGAAGTAGAGATTGTGGAGGAGCAGTAGTAGAAACTGGAAAATGATTTTATGAAACTATTGCAGTAGTTCAGGTGGTCACTGATGGTGGACAGAGGTGGGATAGGACTGGAAGGGGAGGTTTGGGAAAGGATCTTAAACCATTATATCTTTTTGGAAAGCCTAATAAATTTATCCTGGATAAAGACTGCACCATTCAATATTTTTAAATATTCACAGAGCTTGCAAATTGAAGTTGCTAATGATTTGTTTATTCTTTGGTTTTGTGCTGCTGATACTTCCAGACCATTATCATCAGTAATGACTGAACTTCCTTATGGGTTGGAGGCAGGAAGATGAGGAAAGTAGAGTGATCAATTGGGGTATAGCATTATAACTCCAGGTGTTTGGATTCAACTTTGGGTCTCTCTGCACCTGTGAAATGGGGCTCTCTAGTAACACTGCAGTTAGTTAATATTTGTAAAACTTGGAATTCAGTGTCTGACACTTTGTAGATATGTTAGCTGTTCCAGGAAACAACTTTGGTAGGAAGACTAGAGAATTCTACTTGAGCTGTGAAAAGTATGAAATGATGCCAAATAGACAGACAAGTTTATATACTGAGAGAACAACTTGAAGGAAAGATCAGGGACAAAGGTGGATATTTGGGAGTCATTTCCATACTGATGTCATTAAACACTATGGAACTAGAAAAGATTTCCTCAGAGATTATTTAAAAATTATGGACGATATGGCCTCACTAATCTTTAGAATAGATATGATGTTTCCTCTGTTGGAAGGAATCAATCCTTTGAGTTTTTTTTAAAGATTTATTTATTTATGCACACAAGAACTAGGGTACAGGCCAGAGGTGCGGG